ATATCAACCACGATAGCCAACACCGTCATCAGAACAGATCCAGAACTGAACATGCACACGGAGACAAAGAGTGTGCTGAAGTAATCCACATTAAACCCGACAATCTGGGGTATATAATCTTCCAGCTCGCGCATCGTTCGTCCAACGTATTTCTTGGCAGCAAACTTCCAGAGCGGCAGTAACAACATCACGAATACTTGATATCTAGCAGGTACGAAAGAGTAGAGAATCTTAACGAAAGGATAGACTGACACTAAGTTCTCGTGTGCCATTAGAAATTGACGAAATTTCGCCAGATGAGGCCGGAGCGGAGAATTGTTTTGAAACGGAGCCATGCCAAACATCATCACGAGCATCACGGCAATGACAATTACATTTGGTACGCCTCCAACCAGCATCACAAAGGGTACAGGAAAACCCACTAGAACTGCTAGCAAAAGAGCAAACCCAGTGTAACCAGCAGAGACGCCAGCTGAAAGTACTGCGATCTTCGTAAACGTGATTGGTAATCCCATTACGAGTCGCTTCAAGACGGACATGCCTGTACAAGTCAAAATAAAGCAAATAACAGTCACTCGGATCCAGAAGATCCAATTCGCATCCCAGCCTTTTGAAGGATCTTGAAGCGGCATCATTTCCAGCATTATGGCGACTGCTAGCGCTGGGACAGGTGTAAGAATACACACAAGCAACACGCGGGTCTTGGTCGCGGTCTTACAGTAGTGATCTAGACTCTCCAGTCTCTCGATTGAGTATTTTCCCTGTCGACCAACTTGGATACCATTCCATTTATCCTCAACGATAGACAGAGTGGAAGACACTAGTTTCGAAGACCTTCTATGGTTATGGTCTTGGTTGTTTACCGCGATCATGGGTCTGATCATTGTTAATTATGCTTGAGTTGTGCTCGGCGAAAATGGCAGAGTGATAGTGTGACAGAATTAGCCGTTCGCAAATAGAAATGAGCAGAATTGTTTTTGTTTCGGAGCAACTGTGTAGTGTGCGATAAAATAATTGAGTTTCGATATAGATTACCCGAACAGGGAGTTGTTTACGTAGCATAAAATCTTGTTTTACAAATAGCGATATTAAAATAAAGTTAGTCGTTTTTGAGCCAGCAAATTCAACTACTACTTCGAAGTACATGTACATTTGGTTCATAGAGCCAACTTTGCACACATACAAACTCTACGTCGACGAGGAACGAAGCCATTCGAACCGAAGGGTGAAATCCATGCCTACCATATAGCAACGTCAGTGAGCAGCATGCAATACGAGATCATTCGCCTACACATTCGTACCGAAATGCACAAGTTCAAATGGTAACAGAACTATAGTAGCGATGAACACGTCCGTTTGTACAAATTCGAGTTGCGTTTCCAATACGTATGCCAACTGGTAGAGAGGAGAGAACGCGAATTTGCGCTCCAAAAGCACTTTCAAAGCTAGCAACGAGCAGACCTCCAACACGGCAAATAGTAAGATAGTTCCAATTGGCCCACTCTGCCACCCTTCAGCTCCTTCTGGAGCATAAATGACATTTGGTAGTTGACGCAGAACGGACTGATAGGTCACGAACACAATTGGGACAACGCACTCGATGTACTCAACTAAAACGAGATATTCACAGTGAAACAGGAGCTGAAGCCCTTGAGTTATTAACTTTTTCTTTGAGCGCTCCGAACCAAACACTTGAGTATTGAGTATGGAAGTCGAGACACGAGGATTTCTCAGACTGTGCGTTTTCTCAACAACGGACTCGGTCGGGCCAATAGGTGCCACTAACACACGACGCGTTTGAACTAGTAAACTAGATGAGAGGGACGCATTTGCTTTCGTTGGGATCGTGTGGCAAGACCGAGAGCCGTATACGTCTGAAGTCGAAAGTGTCTTAAGTATTTCTAACCGATCACTGGATATCGGGTGAGGTTCACAAGCCCAAAGACGCACGTTTGGTAAAGAAATAACGTCATGGGCTTCCGG